CCAAAACTTTTTAACTTCTGAACAAGTCCACCAGATGTGAAAAAGGTTCCAGTTTGTTGCCCACATTTCCAGCATTTCTCCGAAATGTTTTTATAGCATTTTGAAATTTTGTGTGGAGTTATATGATATATACCACCTATATATCATTTTCATCCAATTCATCCAATAGGTATATTTGATCTTATGTAAACTATGCATTCTACTGATGAGTTGTGGACATTCTCAACAGAAACACATTGGAATGAGCTACAACTTATATAATTTTAAGAACATGAACTTATATTGAGACTTCTTTCAGCAGAAGATGAAATGGGTCAGGCAACAGCAGGCATACAAGGTCATCTTTTAAATCTTAAAATGATTCACTTCAGCGCTGGTTCTAAATGTGTGGCCATTGAGATATTACTGGACTGCAACTCTGACCTGCCCTAATTATCCATTGTAGCCAGTGATAAGGGATCATGGGAGTCGCAGTATAACAACTTTGGGAGGCTACATGCCCTCCAAAGCTGTAATGACATGAAAATAATTTCTTTCCTCAGAGCCTTGTATTTGTTATATGCCAGCTGTTCTTCAATCTGAAAATTCATTTTTTAGAAAAAAGCAAATTGAGTTTTAGGTAGCTATATCATCCCTTCACTTTATTCATAAGTCTTGCTGAGTTACTGAAATGTGTCATCATCCGTGACTGCCATAATGATATTTTTAAGGTTTCAGAAGACCTTTGCTATATTTATACAGACTCACATACATTTAAGCAGCATTGCCATATTTTCTTGTGGAGATCTGGGAGCCTTTTACCATATACAGTTATAGCACTACAATTTTATTTTAACTTCAGTGGAAACATCCTTTGGAATCCTGCAATCTATAGTTTTGGGGTGGGTGTTTAGTATTTAGCCAGCTTGGCTTGAGCATTGGACTACCACTCGGAAGATCTGGTTCAGTTCCCCATTCGACCATGGAAACCCACTGGGTGAGTCACACACTCTCAGCCCCAGAAAAACGCTTGATATGGCAACCCTACGTCCAGGGGCGGCTCAACCCATTACGCAAAGTAAGCATTTGCAGTATAGTTGATTTTGCCCAGGGGGGCTCTTGAGATGCTCTTGGGGGAAAATAGACCTTGACATATGTGAGTTGTAGTTACTGAGATGTATAGTTCACCTACAATCAGAGAGCATTCTGAACTCCACTAATGATGGAATTGAACCAAATATGGCACACAGAACTCCCACGACGAACAGCAAATATGTATCAGTGATTGGTTGGGGGCGCCAAAATACTGTTTGCTTACAGTTGAAAATTACCTAGGGCCGGCTCTGCCTACGCCAGAAACACCTTGAAAGCATAGGACAACACTGAGTATTTATTATTATTCTTACTTACAAAGCCCTGAATGGTTTGGGACCTGCCTACCTGCATGACTGCATTTCCATTTACGAACCCACACAATCTCTTCAATCCTCCGCAGAGGCCCTTCTCTCGCCCCTGTTCCCTTCGCAGGTGCGACTTGTGGGGACGAGGAAGAGGGCCTTCTCTGTGGTGGCCCCTCGGCTCTGGAACTTGCTCCCCAGAGATGTTAGGCAAGCTCCCAACCTGGCAGTCTTTAGGAAGAGCTTGAAAACTTGGCTGTCCCAGTGTGCCTTCCCTGATTGAATATACAATTACCAATTCTTGCAAAATGCCCCCAGAAGCACTTTATTTCATCTGTTAGAGCAATCAACCCCACTTTATCTTCCGGATCCCCTATCCAGATATTTGACATTACTGTATCACCCAGTGTTTTTAATTTTAATTCCTTTAGAATTGGTCTGCCCACAGTGTTTGATCTTTGTCTTTTAAATGTTGTGATTTCATATTGTTGATGTGTTATTTATAATGGTTTTTGCATTGTATTTTTGTTTTCGTACATTTTATTGTTGTGTTCTGTTTATACTGATGTATTGTATTGCTGGGCTTGGCCTCATGTAAGCCGCCCCATGTAAGCCGCCCCGCCACCATCTTGGGGAGATGGTGGCAGGGTATAAATAAAGTTATTATTATTATTATTATTAAGAAGTTTATTATTATTATTACTATTATTATTGAGCAGACAATGACGATGATGATGATTATTATTACTATTATTAAGAAACACAGTATATCAGGTTGATATGAGGAGGGGTTCAGTTGTAACAGCAGCTTTTAGAGAACAACCATAGCTTATTATTATATCATTACAAGCCTATAGTCAAGGCTGCTGGGAGCTGGCATTAGTCCTGAGAGAAGAGGTTAGGGTTAGGTTACAACAACATCTATTATAGAACTCCTGTATGCTGATGACAGCATCATCTGTGCGCATTCAGAAGGAGACCTACAAGCCACTCGAGAAAACCAAAGTGCTCTTCCAGCAGTCACCAGGAAATCCCTCTCTAATGCCAGAAATACAGCTTAATGGTGTAACATTAGACAATGTTGACCATTTCTGCAACCTTGGCAGCCACCTCTCCACAAAAGTCAACAATGACACTGAATTCAACACCGCCTGAGCTCTGCGAGTGCAGCATTTTTCTGAATGAAGCAGAGAGTGTTTGAGGACCAGGACATCCTTAGGGATACCAAGGTGCTTCTTTATAAAGCTATTGTCCTCCCAACCCTGCTATACACCTGTGAGAAGTGGACAGTCTACAGTCTACTATGCAACTCCTGGAACGATTCCATCAGCGATGCCTCCGAAAAATCCCTCAAATCTCTTGGGAAGACAAGCGGACAAATGTCAGCGTGCTGGAAGAAGCAAAGACCACCAGCATTGAAGTGATGGTCCTCCTCCATCAAGTCTGCTGGACCGGCCACGTTGTCCGGATGCCCGACCATAGTCTCCCAAAGCAGTTGCTCTACTTCGAAGTCAAGAACGAAAAATTGAATGTTGGAGGACAGGAAAAGAGATTTAAAGATGGGCTCAAAGCCAACCTTAAAAACTCTGGCATAGACACTGAGAACTGGGAAGCCCTGGCCCTTGAGTAGTCCAGTTGGAGGTCAGCTGTGACCAGCAGTGCTACAGAATTTGAAGAGACACGAAGGAGCGTCAAGCCAAGCCCGACCGGGACCGCCTCCCACCTGGAAACCGATGCCCTCACTGCAGGAGAAGATGCAAATCAAGAATAGGGCTCCACAGTCACCGCCAGGACACTACACTTTGGAGGACCATCATCCTCAGACTACGAGGGATCGCCTAAGTAAATAAGTAAGTAAGTATGACAAGTAAAGCGGGGCCAAACTGCATTCATCGTCCAGTGCAGATGCTGTGCCTGCCCCCTCCCCGCGGAGGAGATGAGTGGAAGAAGGAAACTCGTGAATGGAGCCAAGGCGCTGATGCGATTACTCGAAGATCCCGCGGGCAGGCTCCGCCTCTGGGCCACCACCGGCCATCCTTGGCTCGCGCCCGCGGAAACAGAGGCGGCTCTCCTTCGCGGATGGGGGGGGCAGAGGTCTCCCTGGAGGCAAGTGGGGGCGGAAGGGGGGGGGAGGGCTCTGCGGGCGATCTCCTGCGTCTCCAGCCCTCGAAAGGAATCCTTTCCTCCCCCTTCCCGTGAATCTCTATGGAGTTTTCTCTCTCCATCCAAAGATAGTCCCGGGCTATTTGCGGGCAATAATCGGCTTCCGCTTTGAGAATTTAGACACGAGGTTATTTTTAGGTTGTGTCGATTTTTACAAGCCAAATCCTGGCACGCTTTATGGTACGTCTACACTGTAGGATTAATGCAGTTCCACACCACTATGGGAACCTGGGAGTTGCAGTTTGGATTAAGTTTGGGGCACTGAAAGCTTGGCTTCGTTGCCAACCCGCAAGCAGCTCCTTTTATTCTTATTCTTATCCTTTTATTATGATTACTAGCCGCCCCTGCCACGCGTTGCTGTGGCCCACATGGGAGTTCTGTGTGGGAAGTTCAGCCCAATTCTATCGTTGGTGGGGTTCAGAATGCTCTGTGATTGAAGGTGAACTGTAAATCCCAGCAACTACAACTCCCAAACGTCAAGAGTCTATTATCCCCAAACTCCACCAGTGTTTACATTTGAGCATATTGAGTATTCGTGTAGAGTTTGGTTCAGATCCATCATTGTTTGAGTCCACAGTGATCTCTGGATGTAGGTGAACTACAACTCTAAAACCAAAGGCCACTGCCCACCAAACGCTTCCAGTATTTTCTGTTGGTTATGGAACTGTGTGCCAAGTTTGGTTCAATTCCATCGTTGGTGGTGTTCAGAATGCTTTGATTGTAGGTGAACTATAAATCCCAGCAACTACAACTCCCAAATGACAAGGTCTATTTCCCCCAAACTCCATCTGTGTTCATATTTGGGCATATGGAATATTTGTGCCAAGTTTGGTTCAGATCCATCATTGTTTGAGTCCACAGTGATCTCTGGATGTAGGTGAACTACAACTCCCAAACTCAAGGTCAATGCCCATGTTGGTCATGGGAGTGCTGTATGCCACGTTTGGTTCAATTCCATAATTGGTGAAGTTCAGAATGCTCTTTGATTGTAGGTGAACTATACATCCCAGCAACTACAACTCCCAAATGAAAAAATAATTTTTTGAGTGAAGGTCATACATTGGGTTCTTAGGTGTATGCTGTCCAAATTTGGTGTCAATTCGCCCAGTGGTTTTTGAGTTCTGTTCATCCCACAAACAAACATTACATTTTTATTTATATAGATTATTATTGTGATGATATAATAATAGTTTCAGACCGCTTTAACAGCCATAGCTCCCTGCTATGGCACCATGGGAGTTGTAGTTTGCTGAGGCACCAGATTTCTTTGCTAGAGGCTTGTGAAGCTACAACTCCCAGCATTAGAAGTGTGTTGATTCGCACCCTTGACTTTTCCCGCCCGCCCGCGTCACATCACCCTCTTCCCACCTGTCCGAGAAGCGCCGCCGCCTGACATCACGGAAATAGGGGGAAAGTCTTCGAGGACTCCCATTGGCCGACGTGGCTGTCAGTCAAGCGGGAGGCGCCTTCGCCTTCTCTTGGAATCAAAACGGGGCCAGCCCAGAAGCCCCGCCCCTCTGTGGCTTGCGAAGGGAATAGTGAAGCCAGGGAGTCGAGCCTCTTCAAAAAGAGTTCCTTCTCGCGTTTGCCGCGCCCGCCCACCCACATTTTTGCTCGCGGACGCCTGGCTAGGTTTTGCTCCCGGGTGATGGAAAGCCGCTTGGGCTTCATCCTCGCCACAATCTGCCTGCGACAGGGGCAAAATCGGATCAGAGGGAGCTTACATGACTCCGACCCGTGCTTCCAATTACTGCCAGCGTTCAGGTAGGACTTTGAGGTTTCTTTTCTTGGCTTGGAGCAGAAGCGAGGCACTTCTTAGAGGAGTTCCCTTGGCATTTCAGGTTGAAACTCCCTTCTCCCCATTGCCTGTAGTTCTCCTTCTTAGTTTGCCTTCTAAAAATGCCCCCTCTGGGAAATAGATTTATTTATTCCTTTATATAGATAAGGATGCGTCTACAATGTAGAATTAACGCGGTTTGATACCACTTTAACTGCCCTGACTCAATGCTCTGGAATCCCCGGGGTTTGGGGAGGAATTAGCCCCTTTTCTTTAGCAAAGAAAGCTAAACTACAGCTTCCGTGATCCCAGAACCTTTTAAGTTAAAGTGGTATCAATGTGTGTTAATTCTAAAGTGTAGATGCACCCCACGTTGCCCTGAATTGCAGGGTCATATTCCAAAGTGACTCCTTGGGTTTGCTTCCCGAGGATCCTGGGTGCGTCTAGACCAGACATGGGCAAATTTTGGCCTTCCAGGTGTTTTGGACTCCAACTCCCACAATTCCTAATAGCCTCAGGCCCCGCTTGCGGCTGAAGGGGAAAAGGAAGGGGCCTGAGGCTGTTAGGAATTGTGGGAGTTGGAGTCCAAAACACCTGGAAGGCCAAAAAGTTCAGGGATTGTTGTGAAGGTGTGTGTCTTGTTTTCTTGCAGACATATTTAAACAACTGGGAATTTGAACTCATCTGGAACCAATTGTAAATTATACAGGACTCTACTACCTAGTAGATCTCAATTTTCCTTCTGTTCCTTCTTAGATTAGATAGCTCTCTGGGCTGATCTAAGTAATCCACTTGCCATATACCTTCCCACTACTCTCCCAATTACATACAGGTGGCTCTCTATCCACCTGATTCTGTATCTATGGATTCAACTATCCATGGCTGGAATATATATAATATTTTATATACCGTATATACTCAAGTATAAGTTGACCTGAATATAAGCCAAGGCATCTAACCTTACCACACAAAAAACTGAGAAAATGTATTGACTTGAATATAAGCCGAGGGTGGGAAATGCAGCCGCTACTGGTCAATTTCAAAATAAAAATAGTTACCAATAAAGTTACATTAATTGAGGCATCAGTAAGTGAAATGTTTTTGAATATTTACATAAAACTGTAATGTAAGATAAGGCTGTCCAACCATTAAACCATTATTCTAACCTTCTTCAATGTAAATGCGCTCACGTATCCTTCCAATAATAATAATTATTATTATTATTATTATTGTTATTTTAATAAAAATGATAATAAAAGAGTAAACTAATGGAAATGTCATAATAACAGTAATAATAGAGTAAAATAATGAATGTAATAATAACAATAATAGAGTAAAATAATAAATATAATAGCAATGAGTAGAGTAAAATAATGTAAATGTAATAGGGTAAAATAATGTAAATGTAATAATAATAATAATAATAATAATAATAGTAAATAGAGCAAAATAATAAATATAATAAAAATAGTAATCACACTACACAGTGCTAGACACTTGGGAAGTGTTCGACTTGTGATTTTGTGATACGAAATCCAGCATATAGATCTCGTTTGCTGTGACATACTGTGCTTTTGTGTCAGTAAAATAATAATAACAGAGTAAAATAATAAATAACTTCGACTCGAGTATAAGCCGAGTGGGGCTTTTTCAGCTTTAAAAAGGGCTGAAAAACTTTGCTTATACTCGAGTATATACTCTGTGTGTGTGTATGTGTGTGTGTGTGTGTGTGTGTGTGTAGGTTCCTCCTTTGGAGGCTTTTAAACAGGCTGGATGGCCATCTGTCAGGGGTGCTTTGCATGCAATTTTCCTGCTCCATGGCAGGGGGTTGGACTGGATGGCCCATGAGGTCTCTTCCAACTCTATGATTCTCTTTCTCTCTCTCTCTCTATATATATATATATACATCTCAAAAGGCAACCTTTGAATATAATAATAATAATTATAATTATTATTATTATTATTTATATCCTGCCTATCTCTGCAAAGGGAATCAGAGGATTTTAGTAAAGGTTTTCAATTAATTTGCCATTGTATATAATAGGACTTGAGCATTCACAGATTTTGGTATCCAACAGGATTCTAGAACTAAAACCAAAGGATAGCAAGGGCTCACTGTATATTATCCTAATGGGTGTGAAAAATTGAATTTAACATACTGTAGTGCGGTTTATCATTTGTGCATGTTTCTCATTTGGTTTCTGCAAAAGGGACGGTTTTTGTGTATTCTGAAGGACATTTTCAAAGAGTTTGACCAGTTGATATATGATCCACAGTGGGCATTTGATATATCACTGGATCTGTATGAATTAGAAACTAGTTACTTTCTTTATTTTGCCAAAGAGTTCTGTGGACTGTTAAAGCTATTCCGCTAATGGAAGATGCTCCATCAAAAAAAAGTCTTTCATTTTCTCAAAACAATACAGCACAGCAGTGCCTCAAACACTTGCTGTGTTGGAGTATAGAAAACAGGAATTCTGAAACATAGCTGGTTTGCATTGGAATGACTGTAAATTAGTGCTAATTTCTGGAATTGATTACCTAAATAAGGATAGTATGCAAAGGGATCTTATAGTACTTTAGAGACTGAGTGCCCTTCCACACAGCCATATAACCCAGAATATCAAGGCAGAATAACCCATAATATTTGCTTTGAACTGGAATATCTGGGTCCACACTGCCATATATCGCAGTTCAAAGCAGATATTGGGATTTTATTCAGTTGTGTGGAAGAGGCCTGAGAGAACAAAGTTGGTAACAGAAGCTGTCATAGACTAACTCAGGTCAGTTTGACACAATAGCCTTTTAAAGGATCCGGGTCTCATTTCAATATGGTTATTTCTGCCAAGATAGACAGGAGTTACAGTACTTTTAATGCTGTTTTTTGTGAGTAACAACAATACTTTTTCCCAAGCTAGACATCTAAAGACTGTGTGTTTACATAGACATAAAATATTCACTTGGAAAAATGGAGAACATTGCACACATGTATTGGAGATTGGCCACTGGAATGGAATTTCTTGCTATGGCATGAGTGTTCAGAAACCCTTGCAGAAGCTTTAAAAACATTCCCTAATTTTGTAAGAACTCGTGCTAGGAAAACAATTTTTGACACAGACCACAATTTCAGCAAACCAGCTGGAATAAAAATATAATTCTGCTGAACTAAGGCAGATTCATGAACGTATAGGAACAAAACTCCTGGCTCCTGATGCTGCTGATCAGGCATATAAGCAAGAAACAAAACACACTTTCAATCTATCTTTGTCTTGCTTCCTTTTTTTTAGTGCAGGGTATCTGGCTGGACATATGTGGAGTTCAAAAATCTGCTTTAAAAATCGTCTAGACACAAAACCTGTTTTGCTGATAAATTTTCTTCTAAAGGAGCAGCAGTTAACCACATCCAACTGTGGTTCCAACTGCCATTCAGATGTAGCCTGAGATCTTGCTTCATAGCATTACTTGCAGTAAAGAGGATGAGTTCATTTGTTAAATGGAAGGGTACAGCTGCCCGATTCCCCCTGGTGTACTTTGGCTTGCTAGCTGTGTTAACTGGGGGTAAAAACTCATTAGCCTGAATAGGCATGAACAGATGTCCCAGTTTTCTTGTGTTTCTTAAAAAGATTCACATTTCAAATATGAGCCTCATCTTGTCTCATAAAATGCTTGCAATCCACAGCAGTGCAGTTAAAGAGCACTATCTGCTGCTCTGTGTGGTCTTGTTCCCTTCTTCCAGCTTGGAATGCACTGCATTTGCAGTTTTTTAATGGGATGCTTTAAAGAGATCCAGAAATTTCTTTCTATGCATTGAAAGAAAACTAATTCTACGTGAATGGGCAAATTAAGCATGTGTTTCCAAACACCAGCCCTGTGCTTCTTTGCAAAATCTGGGGGTGGAGAGGTAAATTTCCTGGGAGGCATTCGGCAGGGAATGACTATAGTTCTTGCCCTCTTGCTGTTCGGCTTGGCAGTAGCAATTAACAGCCAGCTGATTGTAACTTCACAGGCCTTGCAAGTAGCTGCACGTTAGTGGAAATAGCTTGTGGATCTTCCTCTCCTCCATTTTTTGTGTGTGAAGCAGTTTTCTTTTTAGAATTTCTCCTTTTTTGTTGCCTTTTTGGCACAGGAGACAAAGTCTTCAAGTCTCTTCTAACTTATGGTGACCCTAAGGTAGGCATGGGCAAACTTTGGCCCTCCAGATGTTTTGGACATTAACTCACATAATTCCTAACAGCTGGTAGGAAAAATCCTCTGAAAAATCCTGTAAATCTCTTGGGAATATAGGCGGACAAATGTCAGCATGCTGGAAGAAGCAAAGACCACCAGCATTGAAGCGATGCTCCTACACCAGTGGTTCTCAACCTGGGGTCCACAGATATTTTTGGCCGACAACTCCTAGAAATCTCAGCCAGTTTATCAGCTGTTAGGATTTCTGGGAGTTGTAGGCCAAAAACATCTGGGGACCCCAGGTTGAGAACCACTGTCTTACACCATCAACTCCGCTGAACTGACCACATTGTCCGAATGCCTGATTACCATCTCCAAAGCAGTTACTATACTCCCAACTCAAGAACGGGAAATGTAATGTTGGTGGACAGGAAAAGAGATTTAAAGTTGGGCTTAAATCCAACATTAAAAACTGTGGCATAGATCCCAAGAACTGGGAAGCCCTGGTCCTTGAGCGCTCTAGCTAGAGGTCAGTTGTGACCAGCAGTGCTGCAGAATTTGAAGAGGCACGAATGAAGGGCGAAAGGGAGAAACGTACCAAGAGGTAGGTGTGTCAAGCTAACACTGACCAGGACAGCCTCCCACCTGGAAACTGATGTCCTCACTGCGGAAGAACATGCGGATCAAGAATAGGGCTCCACAGCCACCTATGGACCCACTACCAAGACACTACACTTGGAGAACCATCATCCTCTGGCTACGAGGGATCACCTATGTAAGTAAGCAAAAGTAAGTAAGTTAGGAATTGTAGGAGTTGAAG